CTTACACTATATCAATCCCGGGTGTATAGGACAGACCTACCCTTACACTATATCAATCCCGGGTGTATAGGACAGACCTACCCTTACACTATATCAATCCCGGGTGTATAGGACAGACCTACCCTTACACTATATACATTCCCTATGTGTGGGCTACACTGAAATGAGAGCTACACTTACAGCGTAGATACCCATGTTGTGTGCTGGATCTCCAAGTTCTCCCAGGGTATCACCTGTCTTACCATCAAAGACGAAAGCCTGTCAAAAAATAGAAGTCAGGTGAATAAACATTACATTACAAAACTCTATACTTACTTAGTTCTTAGTGTTTAAGATTATGAACAATGTTAAACTGATTTTCCTCATTATTGTCATATTAATCCAGAAAAACACAAACAAAACTGTAGAAGAATCATCAATTACAGGAGAACTAATGTAGTTTAGTGTCACAGAGTAGTGACATTATCTAAAGGTTCACAGTGATATGTTCAAGAATGTGTTTAATTTTTTATTAAGAGTTTAATATAAGAAAGGTAATGGACGCAGGCATTGGATGTCTCTATATCCATATCTTATAACAGCAGAATATACATATAATATTACAGTTGAACCTCGTTATCTCGAACTCTTATAACTCGAAGACCCCGTTTATCTTTTAAGTATTTCTCCGGTCCCGCCCAAATCTCTTCTTTATCTTCATAAATAAAACTCTGATAATTTGAATCCTGAAAACTTGAAATATTTGGATACCTCCAAGTAAGATATTTGGTTTCAACAGCGTAAATCCAACATCAAAGCATCGTCTACTTAATTGTGTTCATTTTCATTTCATCACTTATTTATTCTTTAATACAAATAAAACGCAAAACTACAGCATCTCGCAATTCCGTGTTAAAAACAAACTTGATCAATGTTGATCAACAGTATTCTGTACTTACTACGAGTTCGTTTAATGATTTGTACACCCAAACAGACGACAGTTCAAACCAGAAAATGGTCAGAAAGTGTGGTCATGCATAAAAGATTCATGTTTTTACAGGAGCAAGTATGACTTTGAAAGTCAATCGAGAGATTTTAAGAACACTATGAAAATTGCTGTTGATTGCAATGAGTTGAGGAGGTGTCAGGTGGATGTGTCACATTTGGCTTTAATGAATCATTGTTACATGTACAATATAATCTGTTTGTGTGTGTTTTCATTTTAAGAATCAACTATGCGTACGCTCCATTACAGTGATTTGTTTTAGACTTGCGCACTTTCATTTTTGCACTGTATAGTACGACTTGCAGACCTGCAAATACAAATGCAGACCTAGAAAGACTTTGCCAAGACTAGCCAAAAACAACATTTAATCACTAGGCCCAGCCATATTTCATAACAAGAGGCCCATGGGCCTTAACGGTCACCTGGGTCTACAGTATTATTTTTTTTGTTGAAATATGTCCCAATTTGAGTAAAAAATAGTATAATGTTAACTTAACTTTGTCAGGACCATGAGCTGATCATTCCTACAAAGTTTCAGTTCAATCGGCCTAGCATAACTTGACTTTAAGTTTGAAATAGTTTTTCAAAATGGCGGCCGTGGCGGCCATATTGGAATTCTGATCGACCCGAAAAATAACAACACTTTGTCAGGACCATGAGCTGATCATTCCTACAAAGTTTCAGTTCAATCGGCCTAGCATAACTTGACTTTAAGTTTGAAATAGTTTTTCAAAGTGGCGGCCGTGGCGGCCATATTAGATTTCTGAACGACCCGAAAAATAACAACACTTTGTCAGGACCATGAGCTGATCATTCCTACAAAGTTTCAGTTCAATCGGCCTAGCATAACTTGACTTTAAGTTTGAAATAGTTTTTCAAAGTGGCGGCCGTGGCGGCCATATTAGATTTCTGAACGACCCGAAAAATAACAACACTTTGTCAGGACCATGAGGTGATCATTCCTACCAACTTTCAGTTCAATCGGTCCAGCAGAACTTGACTTTAAGTTTAAAATAGGTTTTCAAAATGGCGGCCGTGGCGGCCATATTGGATTTCTGATCAACCCGAAAAATAACAACACTTTGTCAGGACCATGAGGAGATCATTCCTAACAACTTTCAGTTCAATCGGCCCAGCAGAACTTGACTTTAAGTTTGAAATGTAAAATGTTAACGGACGACGGACGGCGACGGACGAAAACGGATAGCAATAGGTCACTTGAGCTAAAGCTCAGGTGACCTAACAAATTAACAATATGGTCCAACCGTTTTGATCGTGTTTAACTAAAGTACGTTTTTCCGAAATAACTTATTTTTTGTTAGCATGTTTATTGTAAAATAACATACATGTATTGTCCTATTGATTACGTATATCATCCATCAATTGATTATTAGCATTGGCTATTAGTACAAATCAACGACTGCTAGTGCTATGTCCAAACAGCAAATTTCATGCCAAATATATGGACCTGCATAACTTGAATAACTCAAGTTTTCCAAGACCCCATCGACTTCGAGATAATGAGGTTTGACTGTATTTGTCTCTCGCAAACATCTGTTTGTAACTAGCCAAATGATTGTACAGTATAAGACTGGTTAGTCCAGTCTCTGGTGACAGGCTACAGCAAAATGTGATATACTGCTACAGTGGACCGGGGAGAAAAATAATAATTCCCCACTTAAGGAATAAGACAGAGGAATATTACCCCTAGGTTGAGAGTTTTTCTTCTCTTACCCTGGACAAGTGTATCCACACTTTTCCTGGCGGGTGATACCCTTGTCTCACCTTAAGGTTGAGACGGTACTGGGGGATTCCCCTATAACAACTGTGTGATGTCACATCAACTTAGCCTGTAAAGTTAACATTGAATTATGTTTGTGATACACAATGGGTGAACAGGGTACTTACCATAAGACAAATAGAATCATTCACTCCCTTGAGGTGAGATAGGGGAATCTCAACCCTCTGGGAGAGATTTGTAAGTTGCCGAAAAGCCTCGTGTTTGACAACATAAGAATCCCCCCTCGAGTTGAGATTCCTCTTTCTCACCCCCGAGGGGTCTTGAATTATTGTATTGTATTTTACCTTTTTGTCAGCACTTCCAGAGATGAAAACTTCACCTTTTGGGGAATATCTCACAGCATTTACAAAATTTGTGTGCTGAAAATATAACAGAATATAAATTAAAAAACACTGAAAATTAAAGTATCAAAACTGACTTAATCATTTAGCTATTTTAAGACAACAGCAATCCCAACAGTTTCTTCCCCATCTCAAATCCAAGCTTTTTGTTCACTCCCTGTATATTCCCACAACTCCCCAGCTATTGTTTTTATTCCCTGCATGTTGATTCTCCCACAATATTTTATCCTCATGTAACTGTTTATCCCCTACTGATTCCCCCATAGGAACATTCTGCTAAATTCTGTACTTCCAATTTATTTCAATACCCCACTCATAGCTAATCCCGCCCCCCC